TCTATCTATCTATCTATCTATCTATCTATCTATCTATCTATCTATCTATCTATCTGTCCATCTATCTATTTACCTGTCCGAAAATAGATGTTTTGTCACATATACAACGTATAATATCACACCATACAATAGATCTACAGACAATCTAACAAACAGGCTTTGTACCGCTCGCCCCCACAACACCACAAGCAGGTAAGCCGACCCTGTTCATTATAGGCTACATTATAATCTAGACAGACCCGCTTATTGTCACCAGCTGAGGCCACAATAATCAACTAATATGTTTACAAAAGGCTGGGGCTACTTCGCCGTGCCACAGATCCGCCGCTTTTATTTAAAGGTGGGTAAAAGTCCGAATAATCTTTTGGATAACCGGATAATTCTCAATGAAACATCCGAATTCAGACTCTTAACTCTCTTTTTTCCTGAAACGTTTGCAGAAGTGGGTGCACCATTTGTTGAAATGATGCTTCCCGCTTGTCGAAGGGGTTCTAACCCATTTGCCGAAGCGGTTCATATCATATTATTTGCCGAAGAGGTGCACTAAGATAGTATCCGGATTTTGTTAAAGCGACTCATTGCCCAGCCCTACTTTTATTGTTCACAGGCCAGTGGTATTCTGCTGTGCCATAGTGCCAGGCCATAATTTATTAACTCTTTCAGAACCCGCTTTCGAATCTGGTTTTTCAACAACGCTACAAGACGCACTGTTTTGGACCATTCTAAGAAAAGAAGCACAACTTCGTTATTTATACAGATTTGTCAGTTATGTTTTTCTTTACCTTAAAAAGGCCGGCGACAACATGAATACTTTGAAATAATAATAATAATAATAATAATAATAATAATAATAATAGAATGCAAATTCGAGTATCTGATTTGTTGATGATAGCTCGAAATATGCCGCAACATTTCCTCCTGTTTGCTGATCGGACGTAATAATAGCCTATTATGTGTCCGCTGCGCCCTTGAAGATTTAGTTTTAGTAGAGGTTTTACGGCGCTCGTCATAAGGTCATATGAGGGCCAGAAGATTAGAGGTGTCACAATAGAGTAACAAACATAAAAAAAAGAAAAAAGGGGAGATAAGGACGATAGACGTTTGATAGGAAAGAAGGGGCAAACCACACCAGAGCACCCGCCAACCACCCACTGCCCTCCCTTGAAGAGTTAAAGTTATTGATTGGTCTTGGAAGGGTGTGGTCTTCTTCCCCTTTTTAGAGATTACCATTATGGTTCAAAATAGAAGTCACAATGACAAATCCCATCTCTTCCTTCACCGGTAGAGAAACCGGTTTTGTTTGTTTTTGTAAAGTGTTTTACGGCGCTCGCAACTGCATAAGGTCATATGAGCGCGCGGGACACACCTAATATTTTCAGTTGGTAGGAAATTTTGAATTTTTGCCCGGGTGGCGGCCGAAGCCTACTCTTATCGATTTTAGACCACCAAGGGATGTTTAACGTGCGCAACTTGCACACGGGCCCTCCGAGATTTTTCGCCCTTGTCCGAGTAGGCTAGGTGTAGATCTTTCCTCCCAGAAGATCAGGGGTGTGGCTGAAAGACAGCAGTAAGAAGAAGCCAAGGAATAGCAGTAGAAAGGCTGCAGAAAGAATCATGAGCCCAGAGGAAGGGTCAAAGGAGGTGATGGGGCGGGGGCAGAAAGAGGAGACGAAAGCAGACGACAGAACATTGCTAGAGAGCAGGAAATGAGGTGAAAGGAGTCAAATTTAGAGAAGTAAATTTTTCGGTCGCTACGCGGATTCGAACCCGGGACCTTTGAATGAGAGGCCAACACCTTAACCTCTAGGCCACGAGAGCCCCCGGAAACCGGTTTTAAACTCAGGACTGTTGACCAAAGTTATATCTGTCCCCGTCGCTTTATGCAAGGAAAATTCTGAAATTATGCAAACTGAGCCCAAAAATGTGAAATTATGCGATTCTGTTAATTTTAACAAAAAATGATAAAGGAAAATAGTTCGAAATTATGCAAAAAAGGATCAAAATTTGCTAAATTATGCGGGGTGCATAAAACCACGGGGACAGTTATATACTACTCAAATAAGCAAGTTAGGGACCACTACAGTTTTCACTATAGTATGTTTTAAGACTGTGTGACAAACAAGTATTGAAAAGATAGGTGAGTGAGTAAATTATGTCATTGTAAGGATGGGTCATCGTTGTTTGCAATGATGAACAGATTTGACACATGTCGTTTAATTTACGCTGCCTAGATATGGTGGAAGGGGGATAATTTTCTGTGAAATTTGACCTGTTTCTGACAATCAATCTCGTGATTTTCAATGAGTGGTATGGGTGAAAAACCAACTCAAGGGAATTCACGCAATATAGTTGGTGTTTGTTGGGTTGTTTTTTTTTACTGTTCATAACCGTATCTTACAGGAATCGCTAACCAAGAAGAAATATATTGCTGGTATATTTCTTGAGGAAACGTCTCCCTTACGTGTGTTTTTTTAAAAGTCTATTTTGGGTTTGGTTTTTTATTTTATTTATTATTATATTGTTATTTTTTGTGTTTTTGTTTGTGAGGTTTTTTTTTTGGTAGAACATGTTTTATTGTGCAAACTGCGATAAACAATAAGCTTTGATCACATGGCAATACATGTAGGCCTACCATAAAAGTGAATGCAGAAGTCGAGATATTATAACAAGAACCGTTCTTGATCCAACAACGAGAAGTACCGTTTGTGTTCTTACAGCATGCTATAGAGTTTTATGTCTCTCTCTCTCTCTCTCTCTCTCTCTCTCTCTCTCTCTCTCTCTCTCTCTCTCTCTCTCTCTCTCTTTCTCTCTCTCGCTCTCTCTCGCTCTCTCTCGCTCTCTCTCTCTCGCTCTCTTTTTCTCTTTCTCTCTCTCGTTCTCTCTCTCCCTCTCTCTCTCTCTCTCTCTCTCTCTCTCTCTCTCTCTTTCTCTCTCTCGGGTTCTCTTTCTCTCCCTCTATTCTCTACTCACTCTCTCTCCTCTTTTATCTATCTCTCGCGCTATCTCCACGCTTGTCCACCACACACACACACTCACTCTCTCTCTCTCTCACTGATTACTGATATAGAATGTTTCTTTTCTTTTTTCCTCCCACCAGGAAACGAAAGACGGTGACAACAGCCATCTAGTCAAACAACACACGGCCATCATCTTCCTGTGGTTTATTTAATCCTTTGGACACAGCCAGCTCTGGGGGATATAGATCAAGATCTATACATACAGAGAGAGAGAGAGAGAGAGAGAGAGAGAGAGAGAGGGAGAGAGAGAGGGAGACACAGAGAGGGAGAGACAGAGACAAAGAGACAGATCTACGTGTGGAAACTGTGACATCAACAGACGCTGCACGCACATACCCCCCTCCCCCCTCCCCCCCCTGTGGCTCACGTAAAGCAAGCACGAAGGTTCTAGGCTCGTGAGTCAACAGTGTTCCACCATCACAGGATCGCTCGGGATTTGAACAGCGCTCTGAGGCCCTCTGTCTGCCCATCCTTTGTTTGTATACATGCAGACTTCGATTGGGGACCACGTAGATCTACAATCTTCTCCACTCAAGTTGTAACATTGGTTCGCTCTTCCTATATCTAGAATCTAGTTTAAATATTACGATCTACGAACTAGACCAACAAAATCGGAAAATCCCTCAGTATTGTGTGACGTATTGTATACGTAATTCTTTTATATCTAAGAGTTCAGAAGGAAAACTAGGTCACGACCAGGAATCCCCGGATTATTAAAACAACTGTTTTAAACGCCTGCAAATACAGTCATTTCAGTAGATGCCAAGCCGACGCTTTTTAGCCAAAAATGTGAAAAATCTGTTTCTTTGGACGAGAGCACATTTCGATGAATACGACTACACACTCCACGATAGTTTACTTCAGTGGTGATGAGTTCAGAACCTGCAACGCAATACGGAAGTTCTTCAACAGGTGAATACTTGAGGATATAAAAACGAACAGGAAACAGGAAAAGACTTCTTTAGAACCTGTAACACTGTAACACATACAAAAGTTTCCCAACGGGTGCTTTAAGAAAAAAACGCACGCACACTCACCCACAGGAAAAAGATCACGACTTCACCAGAACCTACAACACACAACAGTAAAAGTTCCTGAACGGGTGGATTGAGGACATCAAAACACACAGGAAACAGGTCAAGACTTCTTCAGTAAGTTGCACAATCACAAATACTTAACACAGATCCGCTGTCTGGAACTGACAAACATTGTAACGTGCGTTTATTGTTTGAGCTGTGCCCAGGGAATCCTTTCTTCCACAAACTCAAACACACACAGAAACACACCAAGGTTTCTCTGGAATTCACGAGAAGCAAGAAAACGGATTATATTCCGACATACATGTGCAAGGAACGAAACAGCCAGGCGGGGTGCAGATGAGGGACACACCCATCCGTGCCTTGCTCACTCACGTACCGAGCAGGGATAGACTCACACACACGGCGTGAAAAGTGAAGGAAGAATCAGGATAGACTCACACACACGACGTGAATGGTGGAGGAAGAATCGGATAGACTCACACACACGGCGTGAATGGTGGAGGAAGAATCGGATAGACTAACACACACGGCGTGAAAAGAGAAGGAGGAGGGCATGGGCCTACTGATGCCGTGCCGTGTACCTGTG